CCTTGGCATTGCCCTGGGGAAGTAGCAAAACCTCACCGGCTGTTGTGCTGTGTATCTGGGGAGCAATATAGCTTTCACCCTGAGTTTGAAAAAAATAAAAATTCCTGTGCCCAAAGCCTGGATGAGAAGCTGTGTGCAGCTTGCTTTCAAAAGACCACATATCTTGGACAAAGAGACTCTCAGTAGGTACAGTGATGGGTTGTACAGAAGAGGTTTTATTACATATTCCCGGCATCATGTGATCTCCCAGATTACTGTAAATCCTTAGGGAGGGAGGCAGGGTCAGAATAAGAACTAACATTTAATCTCCTGCAGCTCTCTTGAATTAAGGAATTGAATTGAATTTTAAACATTAAAGAAATGTAAATTCTCTGTACAAATTCATAAAAACTCTGTGGTCTAATTTTTTTTTTTTTTTAAAGCCATGAGTGCAAGTCTCATGCTTCTCTCAGTTTTATGTCTCAAGGAGAGACTTCGGGATGTATTTCCATTTTTTCAGCCTCTGGGCCATTTGTGAAGGTACTAATTCTCCGATGGGTTTACCACTTGAGCACAGAATCTTGCTCGTAATAGGTAATCAAAAAGACACTTGCTCAATGAGTGAATAGTGAGTCATACTTCTCTCAGGCACAAAGGCTTCAGAACAATGGATATCTTTGAAATTAGCCTCCACATGACAAACCTCTTGGTGAGCTGGGTTCTTTGCAGCCATGGCTGGCACCGGACACTGGACTGAAAACCAACCAGCGGTGGGTGAAAATATCTTTGAGAGACACAGGCAGCTTGTTGTTACAGAGAAACAGGTCAGTGGCTTGGAGGCACAGCCCAAAGTAGATGATTTCATGCATTATCTGTTGAGCACTTATTATGCTCAAGGCCTATAGGGGAATGCATAGAAAAATGACTTCATCACTGCTCTACAGCATCTTAAAATCTAATCATCCAAGAGCAAATACCCAGAACATGAAGCGGTGTGCAACAGATGCCATAATTGACACAGAGACAAACCCCATCTTACCCAGTTCAGATATTTGGCCATGAGGAAAGCAAAGGTGGCTTGCGTAGACTTCATAGAGAAAATCTCACTTGAGATGCATTTTTTCTGAGCTGCTGCAAAGTGTACTGTCAATGAAGATGCACCATCTCCCCAACAACGATCATATAAACAAAGACAAACCAACCAACCATGGGAATTAAATCACAAAATTTACTGCATAAGCATTTACAAGTCTTAATTATGCAGTTAGGTAAGGGATTGATTTTGCACATCAGCCCTCTTCCTCTCAACTCCAGATGCTTCTTCTCAGTTCCCCAACTTGATTTCTATGTCTCTGTTTCCCATATGAATGTCTGAATCTCAATTGATCATCCCGTACAAAGTTATTGTGTAACTGGCATTCCCTGTGTATCTGCACAGGGAGCCCTGGTGGTGCAGTGGTAAGTATTCAGCCGCTAATCAAAAGGTCAGCAATTTGAACCTAGCAGCCATTCCATGGCAGTCTGCTTCTGGAAAGATCTGCAGCCTTGCAAATCCTATGGGGTAATCCTATAGGGTTGCTATGACTCCATGGTAATGAATTTTTTTTTTTTTTTTGGCGTATTTGTAGTAATCAATCCGTTCATTCATTTAATCATCCATTCATAAGTAGTAGTCATGCTAGTACTTCCCAAGTAGTGGGAGATGTGAATATAGTTTCTACGAGGCCCAGACCCTTATGGAGAACTACTTTTTATCTTCTAGTGAGAGGATGAAGTAACAAAATGCTATTGATAGGAGCCCTCCCATTGGGTATTTCTCATGAATGATGAAACTTCTACAAATAATTTGACTGAAATTGAGGCATAAGAAGGTAAGTGCTCATTCTTAGCTTTGAAGAGAAGAAATATTTACCTGAATAACTTTTTAATGCAGAAGATATACATACATATATATATGCGTATATATATATATGTGCGTATATATGTGTGTGTGTTTGTGTGTGTGTATGTGTGTGTATAAAATGGTGTTGGCGAAGAATATTGAATATACCACGGACTGCCAGAAGAACGAACAAATCTGTCTTAGAAGAAGTACAGCCAGAATGCGTCTTAGAAGCAAGAATGGCCTGAATTGTTGGGCAGAGGGCTGTGGGGACCATGGTCTCGGGGAACATCTAGCTCAATTGTCATAACACAGTTTATAAAGAAAATTTCTACAGTCTACCTTGGTGAGTAGCGTCTGGGGTCTTAGAAGCCTGTGAACAGCCATCTAAGATACTTCACTGGTCTCACCCCTTTGGGAGCAAGAGAGAATGAAGAAAACAAGCTACAAGGAAAAGACTAGTCCAAAGGACTAATGGACCACAACTACCACAGCCTCCACCAGACTGAGTCCAGTACAACTAGATGGTGCCCGGCTACCACCACTGACTGCTCTGACCCGGATCACAACAGAGGGTCCTGGACAGAGCTGGAGAAAAATGTAGAACAAAACTCTAACTCACAAAAAAAGACCAGACTTACTGGCCTGACAGAGACTGGAGAAACTCTGAGAGTATGGCCCCCGGACACTCTTTTAGCTCAGTAATGAAGTCACTCCTGAGGTTCACCATTCGGCCAAAGATTAGACAGCCCCATAAAACAAAATGAGACTGATGGGGAACAACCATCCAGGAACAAGGACTAGAAGGTAGGAGGGGACAGGAGAGCTGGTAATAGGGAACCCAAGCTTGAGAAGGGACAGTGTTGACATGTCATGGGGTTGTTAACCATCGTCATAAAACAATATGTGTACTAACTGTTTAATGAGAAACTATTTGTTCTGTAAACCTTCATCTAAAGTACAATAATAATAAAAAAAAAATAATATCAAGACAAAGAATAAAAAGAAGCAAGGATGGCAACATTTCATTTCATGTACTTTGGACGTGTTATCGGGAGAGACCAGTCCCTGGAGAAGGACACCATGCTTGGTAAAGTAGAGGGTCCATGAAAAAGAAGAAGACCCTCAACAGGATGGATTGACACAGGGGCTGCAACAATGGGCTCAAACTTAACAACAGTTGTGGGGTGGTGCAGGACTGGGGAGTGTTTGGTTCTGTTATACACAGGGTCATTATGAATTGGAACCAAAATGACAGCGCCTAACAACAACTATATGTGTGTGTGTATGTGTGTGTGTGTGTAGCTGAGGAAGACAAATTATGCAGAGTTTCAAGATACTTAAGAATCTTCTAGTTTAATTGTTGGGGAAATGAGACAAGTAGTAGTTAAGGATCATGGTAGAGTCTTAACAGTTTGCCAGTTATGTTGATATTTGCTTTACGGGTACTTGGCTTGTTTAATCCTTCCCAAGATCGCTATGATATACATACTATTACTACCTGCATTTTCCAAATAATTGAAGCACAAAGAAGTTAAGTAACTTGCTTAACTGAGGTCAGCAGGCTAGTAGGTAGTAGAGCTGGAATTCAGACCAGGCAGTGTGGTGGTATGTTGTTAAGGAAGGAAGATGTTATAGTGAGTTTTCCCTATAACTCTGGAGAAAATAGTCTATGCATCGAAGAAGGTATTATTTCATATACATACATAGGTCTTATTGATGGATGTGTATCTGAAAGGCATATAATTTAAGACACATGTAACTTCTACCTACTAGAGGGAGTGGCCAAAATAAATCTTATAACAGTTCTGCCTTCAAAGTTCTTAGACTTTGCAAGCTAGAAGCCTTAATAATAAGGTCTGCATTGTGACAGGTGGATTTCAGGTATCCAAAAGCCTGATAGGACCATCTATGTTGCCTCCTATTCTCCATCTATCAGAGAAACCAGGTCGTGGAGTGAAAAGATATTTCATATTTAGTTTAGCATAGAAAATCCCCAGCCTTCATTGGCAACGTCCTCATATGACAGAGCATGAAATTGAGATTCTGAGAAGTCAAATGGTTTATTCATGTCTTTCTGGTCTGTGGCAAGCCAAGAGTTGCGCCCAGACCTCCAGCTGCTCTGCTTCATGATCTTTCCAGCACCTGGTTGAGAGGAGTTCGTGTTTAGCTGGGTCGTCCATTTCTTTCCCAGTTTGCAGATATTTTCCCCCACACATTTGAAATCAGGGGCCCTTCTTTTGGAGACTACTACAACAAGAAATCGCATTTTCATTTCTCGGATCATCGGCCGTCTTTATCATTATTTGGTTGATTCACTAGCTTTTCTAAAAGGCCCAGGGTGACCACGCAGCCTGGCACGATTCCCGGAAGCCCAAGACTGAAAGTTAGCTGCGCTCAGCCCGTGCCAAGGCCCCATGGGCACCAGAGGGCGCTGTGTCTATCCAGGGCGGGGGCCTTGGCCCTTTTCAAACAGAAACTGCTACCTCCAACGTTTCCCAGCGTCTTTGTGTGCGGATTAGCGGCCCCCACCTCTCGCGCCGCAGATCCTCCCCTCCCCTCGCTGGTTTAGCAAAAAAGGGGTGGAGGGTGGGGATGAAATAAAGAGCAGCTGCCTTGCGGGGCCCAGGGCCGGCTGCGCGGGGCGCGCGTGGAGGCGGCGGCAGTAGCGCGCGATCCGGCGCGCCGGGCCGCGGGCACCGCCGAGGAGCCGAAGCCGGGCTGCTTCCGAGAGCCCTGGCCGGAGCAGACAGGAGGAAGCAGCCGCGCGCCGCGGGGACCAGGTAGGATGACACGAGCGCGTCCCCTTTGTGTCGGCATCACAAGAGCCGGACCTAGCTGGAAGGAGGGATGCGGCTTTGCGGACCCGGCCTCCTGGGGCTCGCCGCCGCTGTTTGCCCAGCCCTGGTCCTCCCGAGTCCACATCTCGGAATCCACTGCGAGGCAGGAGCCGCTGGCCCGGGACGCTGGCGTCGTAGGGGGTGCTGGAGGCGGGTGGAAGGGTCTTTGGGGCGGGGACTCGCTGTCTCGGTGCAGACCTCCACCCTGACCTTTCCGGAGGTCCGCTTGGCATGGCATTCGCGACTGCAGAGCCGTGACCACCTTGAAAACCACGGATCCACCCCACCGTCCTTCTCCCACCCCTAGCCTGGGCGCCAGTTTCCAGCGATGCGCCTCTTAGCGCTCCCGCGCGAGGGTCCCGCTGGCGAGTTCGCGCGCTGGGTGCCCTCTCTTTGTTGAAGGGCCCCGCCCGCAGGCCCCGGAGCTGGAGGCACCGGGTCCGCGCTAAGTCTTCCAAAAGGGTGGACCAAGCAGGGAGGGAGGAAGAGGCGGGGAAGGTCGGGTCTGAGCGAAGTCCGTTAGGGGTACCTCTCTCCCTCCGTGTTTGAACATCCTCCCCGGGCGCCCACGATGACCATGGCCACCAGCTTCTCTTCCTCTCTCCACGCCTTTCCCCTACTGCGTGTGTGCGCCGCGGATCTGCGCCCTCATGTGTGCCTCCAGGGCAGTTGGTTGGTCGGGGAAGTTCCTGCAGGTCTCGCAGAGGGTTGGAACGATGGTCTTACCCCAACGCCCCCCCCCCCCCAGCAGTTGCTCCCAGCTCTGCTGCAGCACGGCTGGTTCCCAGCTATTCCGTTGCTGATGCTAGCTGGGATGGCTTAATGGTAATGGCGGAGGGGTTACTTAGTCTACCTTCCTGAGCCTTCTTATCCTGATCCCAGGACACTTAAAAGTTCCCTCTCTCTCTTTCTCTCTCTGTTTCTGTCTCTCCTGTTTTCCAGTGAATAAAAATATATATATATCCATTCTACAAATATTTTTGCTTGCCCTGTGCCAGGCCAAAAGTTATGTTATAGAGATGAGTTAAATAAGGCCCCAGGGAAATATCCCAAGTGGGCTCCCTGCTGCCATGGGTGCCGACACTGTAGAGAGCCCGGGCATCTTGCAGTAAACTGTTATGAGAAGCAGGTTCCTGGGAGCAGAACCTGGCTGATGGACTTGTATGGGTCAATCAGGGTAGCGGCTGCCCTGACGGTGAGAGTTTATTGGGCAGATAGGATGTGTTTATAAATGAAATTCAAGGCAGAAAGCAAGGTGGTACAGATGAAGAGCTGTGAGCAGGGGCGGATTATCCAATAGGCAAGGTAAGCACAGTGCTTACTTTGCTTACCAGATCATTTGTAGTGACCAATTTCACATTTTTCACCATATCAACGATTCTGCTTCTAGGTATGGCTGGCATCTGTCTCTATCCCAAGCTCACAGCACCTTCCTCCAGAATCAAAGGCTCTTTTTAAATTTACAGTCCCTGACAGGGATGGATTACCCAGGGAGCAAGGGAGCACTGGTTTACTTGTGCTTGCTCCCTAATCAAAGATGTGATGAAACCCATGTGACATCATTCACTACAGATTAGGAGGTAAGCACAAGTAAGCCTGTGCTAACCTTGCTTATTGGGTCATCTGCTGCTGACTGTGGGAGTTCCAAAGAGGGCGTTAGGGAGAGGCAGGAAGAGAAGGGGACCAGGGAAGGCTCGGTGAGGGAAGTGGTGTTTGAATCAAAGACCGAAGGTAGGTCAGATCCAGCATGTGGGGGGAGGAGCACTCCAGGCGGAGGGAAGTAGCAGAGCAAAGAAAGGAGGGAGAAAAACACCAGGCATTCACCTGTGACCATTGCGTTGGAGCCCAGTGGTTTTGACCAAATGCTTGATTGTGTTCTCTTCCGCAGCACTGAGAGGTATGGCCTTATGTTCTTCTGTTTTCTAGCACCTTTTTAGTTTTTACTTTACGTTTATTTTAATGGGTGGAAAGGAAATATGACTACAGAGGTCAGATGATTGGGATAAGTCATGAAGACTTCAGAGTGATCATTTCAGTTGGGGAAGAACAATGCGTGGCTCAGTGTGCGGACTGTGGGCTTTAGAGGCAGATGCCCACCTGGCCTTGACTTCCATCTTTGTCACTTACCAAAGGGGCCACACATGAATTG